ACACACACTGACTCAAACACACAGACACACTCTAATTCAAACACACAGACACACACACTGACTCAAACACACAGACACACACTCTGACTCAAACAGACACACACACTCTGACTCAAACACACAGACACACACCAAGACCTAGCTGGAATATCTCAGTGAAGTAGTTAATGAAACAAACTACTTAGACCGACTATGTAACAAAGTTTGGGCCCATTCTGGGAGCCACTGAGCTCAACCAGTCCCTTTGATAGTGAGAGGCTAATAGATCCACCTGTCTCTTATCTCATTTTTAATCCCCTGTGTTTCTTTGTTCCAGTTGTGTTATCTCCTCTCTTGTTAATGTTTCTGTTTGTTTTAGCTGTTTTTTTAAACTTTTCCTGTAAAGCCCTTTAAGATGGTCCGTTTGAAGGTGCTATATAAAACAATTTGTTGTTGTTGTTATTGTAATAAGGAACCGGGAGATTTTATTTTGAACAACGTGATGGTGCAGCTTGTTCCACACTCCTACAACCCTTTGTGTAAAGAAACGTGCTTCCCGTGGAATCTTTGAGATGTTGTGGAGCAGACTCAGAACTGCTACAAAGACACCCCGCTAAGTGAATATGGAATTCATGGGTGGAGCGGTGGCTCTGGGGCTCAGGATCAGGAAGGTTGCTGGTTCAAATCCTGCGGCTGGCAGAGGAATCCTACTTCGTTGGGCCCCTGAGCAAGGCCTTTCACCCCAACTGCTCCAGGGGTGCCGTACAATGGCTGACCCTGTGCTCTGACCCCAGCTTCTCTCCCTGTCTGTGTGTCCGTGTCTCCATGGAGAAAAGCTGGGGTCTGCGAAAAGACGAATTCCTAATTCAAGAAATTGTATAGGGCTAATAAAGAAATATTATTATTATTATTATTATTACAATTCATACATACAGTAGGAGCCCTTGCAGTGGCATTTATAACCCCGCTGTTTGCCAGCTAGGTCTGATGCGGCTGTGAGCTACCAAGCATCCAGGAGATCTACTCAGCTGGATGTCTGAAGAAGGCCAGGTCCATTCTCAAGGACCCCAGTCATCCCAGTCACAAACTGTTTTTCCTCCTACCATCCAGTAAACGGTACCGAAGCATTCGGTCCAAGTCCAACAGACTACAGAACAGCTTCTCCCTCCAGACAATAAGACTGCTGAACAGCCAGCCTGCAGCTCCTTCAGCAAATCACCTGTAACGGCTACATGGACACACGGTTTTCACAGTTTTCATCATACTTCACTTCTTGGACATAATGTATTGCATACACCCTGGACACAACGCAGCTCTGTTTATATTGAGCTCTGTCTGAGTTTATTTTATTCAACTTCTATGGCACTGTTACCTATCATTATGTCACCTTATTTTGTAACTCTAATTTTGTGATTTTTACCCTTCCCCCCCTCCCCTTCCCACCCTAGTGATCTCGTAGAAAAGACATTTCATTGCCAGCAGCCACTGCTGCACGCTGTATTGTTGTGCCTTGGATAAATAAACCTTGATTGATTGATTGGTTGGTTGCTGTATTCGAAGCGCGTTCGACGCGCCTGGGGAAGAGCTGTAGTGACAAAAGCTTCACCGCCAGAGGCCGCCAAACCCGACCGCACACGGCCGGAGCTGTGAGGCGTGTGGATACGTGCAGCGTCACCACGGGGGTCCGGTGTGTGTCTGACCAGCCTCTCTGCGCGTCTTCACGTCCAGGGCTCTCTCCTCTGCAGACGTTTGCGTTGACTCTGCTTTCCGTTGCAGCTGTATTCGCGAATCTCAGTGAAGCCGGGGGCCCGCTCCTGGAGCCGGGGCTGGAGTGCACACGGCCGCGACGCGGCGAGGGAGTCGCGCTTCCACGAACAGGGATCTTCGACAATGTCTGTTCGCTTTTTTGGCGCTACCGAAAGCGCCTTCCTATTTGCGCCATTAATCAGCCGCCTCTCCCCAAGGACGCAGGTGCTGCAGGCTGGTAGTCATTTCCTGTGACTCTGGTCACTGCAGGGGTGGTGAATTTGGCTCCTGCGCTGAGCTGCCCGTCAGGACTGGGCGCACCTTTAACTGTCGCCACAAGGGGGCGCTTCCTTACCTGGAGGGTGTTCACAGTAACCCAGAATACGCAGTATTACACTACAATTTGAATTTGCGTGAAGGTCGCTTTTTTTGTGTGTGCAAGATTAGCACTCTGAGTGTTCACAGAAGGGGTACACGTTTAGGTTGGGTTGGGTTTGGGCTCAGCTGGGATCAAGCCAGGGTCTCAAAACTCAATCCCTGAAGCAATTTGTCCAATTATTTAATGAGCTGTGCACTCGGGATGCTGCTCGCAGACCTCTGATGTGATTTACGAGGAACTGTAAATTTAATAAAGTAAAGTTCCTGTTGTAATCAACTGTAAAAGACTTTAAGAAAAGTCCTATGCGTTGCTAATTTAGAAAATAAGAAGGCTAATTGTTCATTTGGATACTGCAAATGGAACAATAAACAAAAACACAAAGTCCTCCAGTCACCCTGTTTGAGACACTGGTTTAGGCTTAATTGTCAAATGTCAAATTCAGCATTATCCCCAATATTCGTGAAAGTAAACCAAAACTTGGTTGATGTTATAATAGCATAAAAAGCATGGTTTTTCAAGCATGTTGCAGATCACTGCATGCATCTCATACCAACATTACCCTGATTTTTGTGTGCCAGCCACTCGGGCCGAGGCGGAGAGCAAGCCTGGTGGGAGATCAGTGCACCAGAGCTCCACTCCGTGGGTTAATGGGTTAAACGCTGGCCGCAGGATTGTCAGGGGGGCACTCGGAGCGTACTGTTGATTTTTACCATCGTGCTGTGTTGAAAAACCTTTTTAAAAAACAAACCTTTACACCTTTATCTCAATTTCCTGTTGACATTTTTCTTACTGTCAAGTGCCTTTTGTTTTTCAAGGCACTATGTTTATTATTATTATTATTATTATTACAGACTGTTTTGGCCTGTCCAGTGCTGCATCATCTGGTCTTCAGGGTGTTACTGTAGGTCACCTAGTTCAGCAACAGTGACTGACAATCGCAGACCTGCTTTCTGGGCAGGAGGACTGCATTCCTTCTCTAAGGGCTGCTACCTGCAGAGTGCACGGAGGTGCTGTTCGACGTGTTTCAGGGACTCCAGCTCCAGGCCGCTGGGCAGTGCACACCCATGCAGACGGGGCTGTGAATGTGTCAGGTGGTGGGGCCACTCCAAGCCCTTCTGTGCGGAGATGCTCGTGTGTTTTACCCCCTCCTCTGCTGCTGCGCTGCAATCCCTGCAGTCCTGCAGCCCTGACTTATCATAATGAGGCCATTGTGACTTTAGGCATGGATTCTCTCAATAGGGAACATTGATCTTCACAGGGAGGGGGAAGTGTGATTTGGCCACAAAGGACATAATCTGTTACTAGAGGATCTTTTCTGTAGCACATAAAAAAATGTTCAGAACCGATAAGCCCTCATTATGTGTGGAAATGTTTTGATGCAATTGAGTCACAGGTACTTTCAACATCATACAGATCTTTCTAAATGCTCTGTTAATCAATGATCTATTGGTTGTCTTATTGATGTCTTAATTTAAGACTGAGAAGCCCCTATTGAACAGGGAGTTGTATTTTTTTTATTCTTGTGACCTGCGTTATCTGAGCAGATTGACAGAAAGTGGTGATCTTCTGCCGGAATTTCTGACAATCCTTTAGATTTTTTGGGACTTGAGACATTCTAGATCTTAGAGGGTGTGTTTTAACCTCCCTGAACGTCAACTGCCCTGTGTTCAAAGTCGTGTTTCAACTCTCCTAGAGTTTCATAAAAAAATTTCAATTTTAAAGAAAATGTCCAACCGGATTTTGGGAGATTGTCCAGTTACAAGCAACCACATAACCTTAATGGGCTGGAACGAAATTCCGAAAGGAGAGCAGG